ATATCAGCCTGTTGTTCCCACCAAAACAACCAATAATTTCAGTGCAAAGTGAAGATGATTCAAACAGCAAGGCTACTAAATTGAAGAATTACCTTTAAAATGTCATTATAACCATGTCTGAGTGAGTTTTCGGTTCTATAGTCAGTTATGATTTTGACTAATCGATCCCCTGAGCTGGTAAACCGAAGTACTTTTAAGAATAATAATAATAATATTGACTTCTATAATGTTTCTTAAAGATTTTGGCGATATTATAATAAGATCTAAAATTCAGTATCACAAAGGAAAGATGAATGTGGTTACAGATGCCTAAAGTACAAAGTCTGTGATGATACTGCAAGATCAGTTAAGTGCAAATTTTCAAAGATGGCCTTGGAAGTTATGGAGCATGGAAGAGTGGAGAAAATGTTGAATTTTTTCCCTATCCAACACTCGGGTTATTTAGAAATCACAGAAAGGTGGCTTGAGGATGAGAAGCGGGAGAAAATTCAAGAAGGCAAGTTTTGAATTTTAAGATATTTGATGATGGGAAATGGGAAGTTGCATATGATGCTGAAGTGGAAGAGACTAAAAATGAATGGATGACATTCCAACATACAGAGAGGAAAAGACATATAGAGCTTACTAAAGACATACAATGATTGACACGAAATGCAGTCTGAAAACCATCAGCATGAGGAAGATCAAAAAGGGCCTTTATATCGAATGTACATCTACATTTACAAGTACTACAAGGACATAACAATACTAACCTAGGTATTTCCAGTCCATCAGGCACAACATTCACAATATGAAGAGAATCAAGGTTGCCAACAGTATGTTCCAGCAACAATCCAACTTGCAAACAGGAAAAGGCAAGCATATGAAAAACAGAGACGATGATAGTTTCCCACATAAATGGTTTAGGGGAAGGAATACAACAATTTTTATACCATTTCAGGCATCTAGGTAGATTTCTTTGCTCATTAGTGAAATGAGCAAATAATTAGTTACTCATTTGTAAACTAAGCAAATATTTCTTTGATCATTTGGGAAATGAGCAATCACTTTTTTGCTCATTTAGTAAATAAGCAAATAGTTAGTTGCTCATTTGTCAAATGAGCAAACATTTCTTTAATAATTCATTAAATCAGCAAGCATTTAATAAGAAAACATAAAATAAGGAAATAAGAAAACACGTGCATTATCCTTTCCACAGGTACATCCGTATAATCTTTAGTAACCGAAGAATCCATAGCAACTGAAGAATCCATAACACTGAACAATTCCACAATTATAAAAAAAACCCGAAAAAATGTAAGCTAACTAAAACAAAGGAAAAATCAAATTAAGAAGCAAATTTGTAAGAGAAATAAAGAGGGGGAAGGGGGGATTCACCACATTTCTAACAAGAAGCAGAGGATCCTAACTGTGAGAAAATAGTGTCCTACCAACCAAGAAAAAGTAAGAAGATTAAATAGTCCATATAAACTAGGACATGATAGCAGTCCCTGTTTTCTCAAACAAGGAAGCCCAACATATAAATAAATCACTTTCTGCACTTGGGGATGTCATCTCTGCTCTTGCTCAGAAGAGTGCTCATATTCCCTACAGGAATAGCAAACTTACTCAAGTCCTGGAGGATTCCTTAGGTAACCAGCTTAAAAGATGTTATGATCACAACTTCAATTTTATTTATTTGAATAAAAATATTTTTTTGATTATATTGTACCTCCATTACTCAACTTTTTTTGAAAAGCCATTGTGGCTGTTTTTTTTAGTACTAATATATACTTAGTATAAATTACAAGTATCCTTCTCTGGTAGGAGGACTGATCAGTCTTTGATTGCTAACTTATGAGTAACTTCTTTTGTAGGAGGACAAGCTAAAACTTTGATGTTTGTGCATATTAATCCTGAATCTAATGCTATTGGAGAGATAATAAGTACCCTTAAATTTGCAGAGAGGGTTGCCTCTATAGAACTTGGAGCATTAATTCAGATTAAAAAATGGGAATTGAAATTATACTGCAAGTTAGCTTAAGCTGCTGCAAGGCAGTTCACTAACAGGATACCTTTGTCTATTTGATAACTGATATCCATTTAATCATATATTGAACCAGTGATCAAAGGTCAAATATCATATAGCAAGAAAAATAGAGTAAACATCCTAAAACACCCAAACCAGCCAGTGTTCAAAGACACCATGAGGGCAACAAGCCTCATACATCAATAGGAAACAAAACTTAAAGACACATGTAAGACAACCTACAATCAATACAACTGTAGAAATTGATGCTGAAAATGTCACAACACTTAGAAGCTAAAAGCCGAGACTCAATACAATCTTGGGGAATATTAAATAAGAAGATCATCAATTAAATATGTACTACATTTGAAATTGATAAAATAATAGGATTCATCGGGGAATATTGTCAAACACTTAGTGTGCATCAAAATTTAAGCACAAATTAGTAAAATGCAAGTACCAATTAAAATTGACAAAATCAATCTCTATAACCATTCATAACCTCAGAAATTATAAATAAAAGTTCGAATTACACTATAAAGAACCCTAAATTAACAAATGAAGCAAAATAAAAACTAAAATCAATTAATAAGTTCGAAAATCGCCAAAAATCGCAAAAATTGACAAAAACCTTAAGTAATCAAACTAAAATCAACGAAAATCAAACTTTAATCAACGAAAATCAAACTTTAATCAACGAAAATCAAACTAAAATCAACGAAAATCAAACTAAAATCAACGAAAATTACCTTGACAAAGAATCAATGAAGTTAGAAGCAGAATTGATGAAGAATCAAAGCAAAGGAAGAGAGCAGTAAGAAGGGAGCAGAGAAATTGAAGGAGGAGAGAGAAAATTTGCGCGTCGAATGAAGGAGTAGAGAGAAAACGCTGGAAAATTGTAATTGAAATTACATTTGATTGGGATAAATTGTAGCCATTGGATGCAATTAATCCAACGGTTGTAATATGTCCTCACAAAAAATAAGGTTCTCACATAAGGGGGGTGGTCTCATATGATCCTATATATATATATATATATATATATATATATATATATATATATATATATATATATATATATTAAATTAGTTGAAAATTGATGCGGGTTTTTTGTGGTTTCCACTAAAATTCCGATGTTAATGAACTGTAGTTTAGATTTTGCACAATTTGGTGATAGAGGAACTAAATCAAAAGGATATGGAACAATTTAATCTAAGCAAGATTAAATTGTAACTAATAAGATATGGAGTTATTATTCCTAGCCAAGGTTTAATAACAACTAAAATTGGTAGCTTTCTCGGCAAAATAACATATGCAATTTTCTAGCGGAAAACAATTCATATGAATTGATCAAACTATAACTCAAAGTCAATTTATCACTAAAAACGTTATAACCTATACCCTTTATATATGCAAAATTGGAATATTGTAAAAACAAAAGAAAAACTAATCTCTAAACTAAATCTATCAAACTAAAAGATAAATAACAACTAAATATTATCTATAATAACCACCTACAAGATAAAAATTATTAACAAAAGATATAATTAAAATGACTCCTTTAAGAATCTTTCAGATATGCATCAAAAATATAATGGATATACCTTGCACCCGAGTATAATTAAATTGATTTAGAGATAGTCAAAGGGGATGAAGTAATATGATCCATTCGAAAATCATTACTGAATTTTGCTTGATATGATTAAATTTGGTCTAATATGTTATTGTAAGTTCTAGACTTCTAGTTAGACACTTACACACATTGACATAACCTCTTAAGTGACTGGATATATGAACCCAAACTTTGTTAAGTAGATGTTACGAGGTTATTGAAATACATACTTACATACATATCGTTTATCGCCTCACAATCTTTCACACTTCCTCATAAAAAGTAATAATCAATAACTAGGCTCCAACAAAAACAACAAAAGAACTTGATCTGTACTCATGGGCCGCTTACATAGAACAATGAAAGAGATCAACTAAGCCCCCACAAGGTGAACTTAGTTAACAAGCAAAGACTTTTTGTCAACATAGCAAACGTAGGTTTCCTCGTTACCAATCTTAATTAGCTTCTTCAAGATCAAGTAACTCTTTCTTTGCACTCACATTTTGAGCAAAGTTGTACTTAACAATAGTTGACTTGGTTCTCTTTGACAATAATGTGTATTCGTTCGTAGTCAAATGAATTGCACTTCAGCTATCACCAAACACAAATACCAAGCTTAAATATGAAATAAACTCTTAATTTAATATACCTGGCCTTGAGCCACTTTATTTACATTGCCTCTTTGAATGTCTTGATAATGTCCATGAAATTGGACTCTTTAGCCCAAATGGCTACAACATCTTTTAGAAACTTACAACCATATCATCTAAAGTAAAAACATAACAAGTGTAGATTTTTCCTTCTTACAAAAATGAGCATATATACGAGTATATGTATGACGAATATTTAAAAATCTCTTAAAATAGGGTATCACCATTAATTTGAATCACCTTAGATCATTCTAGATTGAGATATATGTACATCTGAAGTCAATTCTTTGCCATTTTTCTAAGATTTAAAGTCACAAATAATAAAAACAAAATGTTAGGATTAATTTCCACAAAAAATTTATCAACACACGGTATGGTAAGACAAAAAACCAAGGGTTATGGATTTGGTGGGATTTAGAGCCATGGTTTCTTAGTGTTTTAAGGAAACAAGAGCGTAACATCATTACGTTTACGTACCTATAATATATGGCATATATGGGTGGCAATAGTGCATTGCCTAACTTGTACCCCACACGTTTATAGGTTTTATGTGTCACTTTAACATAATTTTCTACAAGACTAGAAGTTGGTAGGAGACTTGGTTTTTCTCTTATTTAAGAAGCTCCTAGAACTTTTTACCCACTAAAACTCTAATCCCATTTTATATGCATGCGCCCACTTCCTTTATTTTCCACCAACAAATATTCACATTCTTTTCTTTTCTATTGTTTTCTATACTTGTATAAAATTATGGTGTGCTTTAATTTGGTAGCTATAGCTGGATCCTCTCTTGCATGAGAATAAAAGGACCTTTTTTTGCTCTATATATACATCCCTCATTGCAATTCTTTTCTTCACTTCAAATTAATTACACATTCCCTAATTAATTATAATTGAAGCTCCTATAATTAACACACTTAATATGGCAATCTCCAAGCTTTTCATTGCTACTCTTGTCCTCTCTTTTCTTCTTCTTCATGTGGTTCAAGCTCAGGATATTGTAAGCTTATTATTCATATTATTAGGTTTAAGTTATGGTATCGTGGATTATGAAACTCTGATCTTTTCGTGATGAGAGTATTCATAGTCGTAGCTATACCATTAGTCTTAGCCAATTCTTTAATATTGGTCACACTTTTCGTTTCCGTCTGTTTCTATATAAGTTTATTTCATGAAGATTTTAACACTCTTGTGCCTCCTTATCTAAGTAGAACATGCAAATAAGTCCAACTCTTACATACTATCTAAATACTCGACTATATGTCAACAGTGTCTAGGACTGTTTAATTTGTTTTGGTATATGTCTTATTTTTAGTACCTACCTTGTCCACAATAGATACATGACCTTGATATTGAACACATTTATTTTAATTTCTTACATTAATAATCTTTTTTCAAATTTGTTTAATCATATTTTGTACTTCCTCCATGCATTATTAATTGCAACAGTTTGAATTGATTAAAATTGTGAGTGCTTTTTGGTTAAACTGTCTCAACTAAAAGTAAGCGGAGAAAGTAAATACAGTAAACAAATAAAATGCTGCTACCCTGTATTTCTTTCAAAACATTTTCTTATCATATTTGAAACTAAACATTGTATTACTATTTTTGTCCCACAGATTGAGAGTAACGGTCCAAAGAGGTCTCAACTTGGTATAAGTAAGTATCTACATTCAGCTATGATGATAATATAATTCTAACAATTAGAATAACTTAAGCAATTATTAAACCATATAGTTAATTAATATTGTATTATGTAAAATTCATTCTTTTAAAAAAAAAAAATTGTAAAATTAATTCATGTATGGATGCTGCAGATTGTGGAGCGGCATGTGTAGCCAGGTGCCGGTTAAGCAGTAGACCAAACCTATGTCATAGGGCATGTGGAACCTGTTGTGCTCGTTGCGGGTGTGTGCCACCGGGTACTTCCGGTAACCAAGAGATGTGCCCTTGCTACTACAACCAGACTACCCACGGTGGCAAACGCAAGTGTCCTTAAACTTTCTACAGCTAAATGTATACCTCTGTAGTTTATTACTAGTACTATATATGTTATTTACGCCCTCTATCTCTAAAAGTTCTTCGTGTTTGAATGGTGAATTTTAGAGATGGAGAAAGTATTGTTTAGTGTTTACTATTACTACATTGTCGTGCCATATATTTTATTTTATCTGTTACGCTATGCGAAGTATATCAATTGTGTTATTTAATTTGTGTATGTAATTCAAACTGATTGTACGTTCATTTTGTGAATAATGATGATATAATAAAAGATTCATGTCTAATGTGTTGGTCTGGCTCTACTCTGTTTAACACTTTAATTCCCTTTGTTTTCTTGAGTTATTTTTTCAAATTATTTAAAATGGAAAAGTTTCTCAAAAGAAGGTAATGACTCCCGTCAAAAAATAATACTTCGTATCATATACATGACTACCTGCACTTTTTTTTTTCTTCTCAATTAAAATTACCTTAACCAATGGGTAAATACCTCTGCCATAAACTTTCATCCATTTTTGTAATGGATGAGAATTCAATTGACATATACGAAGTATGATTTTTTTTTTTTTTTGAACAAACAAAGTATAAATCTTCGTTTCTTTTAATTACTACAAAAAAAAAAAAAAAAAAAAAGAGGAAGCTCAATTGTAAAAAATAATGATTATGAAAACACAAACTTACAAAAAAAAAAAAGGTTATACGTTTTATAGCTGTCCCTAATATGATTAAAATTTACCTTGAAATAATTAAAATTACCTCAATACAAATGAAAGTAATTTAAGCTTTATTGATTAAATTACCTTCTATAAATGATAAAAATTGAATCTAAGTGGAAGAAAGTAACTACTGCCCTGAAAATTTTTCATCGAAAACTAATTAACATGCCTTTTTTTTAAGAAAAGATATGTGTTTTACGGGCCGGTGTAACTTTTAGAACATTGTCATAGATTAATGAAGTGTTACTAATACTTAGCCTAGTGGTTAAGATTAAGGGCATGTGTATAATAGGTTACGATTTCAGATCGTAAACCCTCATTTGTGAATTGTATTGCTCTTGTAACTTGTTTATATAAAAAATATCAAGAAATAAATGACAAAAGGTTTAAACTAGGTCGTTAACTAGCTTACCTAAGTCAACAAAAATAGAAATCCAAACTCAATCCTAGCAATAGGGGCAAGTTCGGGTCAAACCACGAGAAATAGGTAGTCAATTGCTAAAGTCTCTGGTTAAGCTATCTCAAACAAGTATGTGGTGTAGTTTGAGCTAGACTACGCAAAACAAGCAATAAAATCTAGAGAAAATCAAATACCAAAACGCTAGGGATTAAAATCCACATACAATCATGATAGACATGCTAAATTGGAGGTAATCGGATCAATTAAACATTGCAAGGACTAATGGTAATTGCTATCGAATGAAATAGAATACCTCCTAATCGTAAAACTAGGTCTCCACTATGAATGACAAACTAGGAGAATCACAATTCAAATCATTCAACAAATGCAAATCCTAAATCAAGTGTTCATGTCATTAGGAATTACAATGCAATCTAGCTTGGCAATCTAGGTTAGCTACTCCTATAAAAGCTAAGCACATGCACAATTCCATAATCAATTAATTAATCACAACAATTAATCAATCAATATCCCCAAATTAACAACAATCTACCAATCATGCATGCTTCCCCTTCACCCTAGCTAAACAAACTACTCACTAAGCATATTGAATTGAAGGAAGAAAGCTAAGCTAATCATCATTAATATCATCATTATTGCAATTGAAATCAAAGCTAAATCAATCAAGCTAATCAAAATCAAACAATCAAAATAAACTTGAAATTGCATCAACAACAAATTAAAGTGCAAAGAATTGAAAGAATTAAGTAGAAGAATCTCACAAACTTGATGATCAAAAGGAAATTGAGCTTGAATTGAATTGAAATGAAGATCAAAGTTGAGATCCACAATTTCTCTCTCTAGTTTCTCTCTCTAATTAGCCTAATATCTCTCTAAAAATCTGCTAATTGAAGTCCAAAATCTAATTCAAAATTACATCATGAAAAATAAAAAGAAGAAGTTATTTATAGTATAATTAAATTCAAAGGAAATAAGGGAAAAACCCCGAAATAAACCCAGTCAGGCGCGCCCTCTCCATAATCAGCGCGCCTACGATAAACTGGGTACGTAAACAGAGACCCCTGGTGGCGCGCCAGCGAGGCTGTTGTGCGCGCCCACGCTGCTGACAGTCGCGCCCGCGTTTCCTGGAGCAGGGCACTTCTTCGGTGCGCACAATGTATGATGGTGCACCCCTCATGATAGTCACAAAATATGGTAGTTTCAAAATGCGATTTACAATGGGTTCAACACCAACATTTCATGAGAGCGCAGCCACTAAGTCTTGGAGTTAGCCATCACTTGCTTCATGATCTATCTATAAGCTAAATCCTTGCACCAAAAGCCTCTTCCAATCGGAGAATTATCATAACGGGTCCCGAGCTTTGCCTTAAACCTACAAACAAAGATAATAGAACAAGTAAAATAGAAAACACGAGAAAATCCACAAAAGTGAACGAAAACACGAAATAAGCGAGAATAAAGAAACTAATGAACAAAACTAAGCAATTATTAGAAAAGAAAGCTATAAAAAGGAGGTAAAAATAACTTAAAAGACTACCCTATAAATTTCATAAATGACACTCATCAATAAAAGCCTTATTATTCCTTTCTTCATAAAATATGAGTAGGTATAAGAATGAAATAAATGGATAAAGTAGGAAAGAGTGTGTAAGAAGTAGGTTGAGCATGGATCAGATATCTAATCTAAAATGGATTTTATATAGGATATCCAAAAACTATGAAATCCGATATTTGATATCCGATTCGAAAAGTTTCGGATATTCGATATCGAAAATTTCAGATCGGATATACCAGATATCCAATATACGAAATACTAAATAATTGTTTCAAATTTTGAATTTTTAATTTTTTTTTTAAAAAATGTAAATAACAACAAACTTTTGGGATATTTGGATTGAATATTCATTATTTGATATCCGAAATCCGACTTATTATTTCGGAGATAGGATATCTGAAAATCCGAAAATTGATATTCGAAGAGGTATTCATTATCCGAAAATTTTGGATCGGATATCTTAAATTATCAGTTCAGAAATTCGAATTTTTGGATATATAGTTTTGCTTAAGCCTAATATGAAAATGTAAATAGAATGGGAAATAAAAGTAGAATTAAGTTAGAGTAATGTATATGCCTAGGTGGATATTTATTGAATAATAAATCTATCAATAAAGATATCTTTATATAACTCCCTCCATTTTATCTTGTTCTACTTATTAGAAATAGGGGGAACCAATGAAAACATTAATGAAAGGACAAGATTTCCCGTTTTATAAGATAAAAGATTTTTAGAAGAGATTTCAATGATTAAAACAATATTTAGAAAATAATGGAATATATAATTTATTGGGCATTTATTACACTTTAGAATAGTAGAAAACAAAAATAATTGTGCACATAATACATAAATAATTGGGATTTAAAGATAAAATAACGTTTTTTTTTTCCAACAAAGTACTCAACTTTGATGATGACTATAGGGAATTTTTACCTCGCCCTACCGTGGGTCATGTTTTTATGCATGCCAGCTATCCTAGTGAAGAAGCTAGAGAAAGTGAGTCGTCAACAAGTTTTAGGAACTTGTAAACCGTTCATGATTGTGAAGGTTACACCTCATTCACAATCACAGAGATTGCTAACTCCATAGTGGTCTGGAACCATGACTTGATGTTCGGGGATGATGATACGAACTTGACTTTCAAAGAAGTCAAACCCGCCCTAAAATAGGCCTCTACTTGATTCTTATTGATATTCATGAGCACTTTTCGATCAACATTCATACATCAAATTAATCCTAAACCTGCCTAACCTATGTTGGCTTATTATTAATGCACAATTAAATCTAATACTTGTGATCACTTTAATTAAAATCATATTAAACCTAAATCCAATCATTAATTATCTTATTAGGCGTGATTTCAATTACAAATTCCCTTTAAACCTGCAAAAAGGGGTGTGATCAAGCAATAGTAACAAATCATTGATAATCAAGAAACATATAATTATCATAATAATCATCATCATAAAAATATCATTAGTAGTAAGATCCTAGGCATGATACTAAACAGATTAATAACAATCCTACCATGTTACTAAATAATTAAAAATACGGTCCTAAACATGATGCTAGTAATCAAAGCAATAAAAATAATTAGAGTAAAAAAAACAAATAATTAACTTTGAATACTACATCATGAATAAATTGTTAGTAATTTCAATAAAAATAAATAAAATAATAATTCACAAAAATTAAATTAAAGAGTTAGAGAAATTAATAACACTATCAGGATTATACCTTCACGCCTTGGTTAAAAAAGGTAGAACCTTCGGATCTTGTTTTGGAGTTTGAATTACTTGAATAAGATTAGAAATAAAGCTAAGAACAATAGAAATTGTACGTCGAAGCTTTAAGTCTAAGCCTTTTGGGATGATTTGGGATTGATAAAATATTTGTATGCATGGTTGTCGAAATTCCCCTCCAAAAAATCAGAAATAATGGTGGTATTTATAGGCTTAAAATCGGGTGAAGATAGATTTTTGAAAAAAGATATGATTGAAATAGTGAAACGGTGTCAGTTTTGGATAGAGTTTGGTATTTTAATCATATCTTTTTCGTTTCTAATCGAAATTGAGCTTATGATATATCATTGGAAATCTTATTTCAAGGGCTATCCAACTATCCAATATTTGGATAAAAATTATGAGGCAAGAAATTCAGTTTTGACCGATTTTGGAACTAGAGTTGTGAAAAGGGAAAATGGGCTAAGTTTAGGCTAATGAAATGGATAAAATGGCTTTAAAATAATTTTGGGCTAGAACAAAAGGACTATTTAAGTAATTCTTAAATCCACTACGCGAACTGGACCAAATTAGGCAATGAGAGGTTGTTTTGTCATCGGGCTTTGGTCGGGGTGACATTTTTAGGTGTCTACAATTACCATCTTTATTTTATTGCTATTATATAAAATAAGAGAAGCTATTGCGTGCGTATGCGGATGGCTTTCAAACAAAAGCCCAGAATGAGCGCGGGTTAAAGGCCCGGTGTTAACGGGATTTGTAGGCTGTTATAAATTAAAAGACTCAGCAATTTATTAAGTTTTTACGCAAAATCGAAAAAGAAGAAGAACAACAAGATTGCGCAATTTTGAAATT